GACTTCGGACAGCTTGATTTCAAGCAGCATGATCTAACGTTTTCACTTGAAAAGTAATAAATCTCAATTGAAAATCATATTTCGTGGGCATTGATGTAAAATATATACGCCAACATTATGACATATGCATTTTTTTTACATATAGTCAACACATAAATAAAAATAATAGTTGACCGTTGAGTTGCCCTTTCGATAAAACTACTAGTTTTGGATAACATTGAAATAAAATACACATTGAAACACAACACATATTGAAATAAAATACAAAACTAGACTTATAGGCCAATTCTACCGTAAAATAGGCCAATGTTATGGCAAGGCTGTGTGACGTTGCGTTTTTCATATAGAATGGCACTAAAAACTGTCGAAATGCTTTGAGTTTCTGTACAATCAGGCGTTCTAGAAATGTGTCCGAATCAAGAAAACGCCCAAACAAACAAACCTAAAAGGAAGAATTTTTGTCATACGTTCATCTTTCTGATGTGTCTTAATAAAACACGTGAGAAGTTAGATTTTAGGTGTAAAACGCCTAATCGCACAGCAAATACATAGCTTTTAGTACCATTTTATATGAAAAACACAGCAAAACATAGTCTTGCCATAACTTTGGTGTATTTTAAGAACCATTATTTTATACCCTAAATATATGCTCGAGAAAATATAGTGAAAAAATTTATATAATTTTAAAGGCAAAGAACTAGTACTACAAGTTGTTATTATAAAAAATTAGGTAGTAAATAGTGCTTATCAATTAATCTAAATATAATAATGAAAAATTTGATGTGTGTTCCATAAATATATGTAAGAAAAATATTCAGATTAATTTGTTTTCGAATTAATTTAAAAAGTAAAGAAAATCACTGGCAAGAAATGCAAGATGAGTTGAAAAAATTGTTTAAAAATAAATAGTTGATGATACTGACTAATATAATCCTTCAAATGACTTAATTTTTTTATTTCTTTGTATCTTTATTCTGCCATCTGTTTTTTCACTATATATGAAACAACAACATTGACTTGAATTTTGTATAATTTTTTTGTCAAATAAATTTCAAAAGTGAGGAAAATCTTCGGCTAAAGGTTAGATGTGGCAAAAGTAATGCAATTTGAATTGAAATGAGTAGGTTAAAAATGAGTAGTTTATAATAGAAATGATTCCATTACCATTTTTTTCTCTCTTGGCGCCATCAGTCGTCCTTAAAAGTCGTCGGAAAGAGTAATTAACGATTTGATCGGTTTCATTTCTGCCAGAGCAAGAGCCGGCATTAATGTATGTTGGCAGATTGCATCAATTGCTTTGATGAGGAAGACGCCAGAACGATCACGACGTTCAGTTAGAATGAATGAATTGCTAGAATGCACTGTTCTAGCTTTTATTGTTGCAAGTGATTCATTCTCTGACACATCGAAAGGCATCGTGGAAACAATTGATAACGGAGCGTTAATTGCTTGGTAAAAGACACATAATATTTTGTACTGAAGCGTTTACAAATTACGTCCATTACCCTTCTAAAACCCCAAAATCAATCCTTTATCCCTTATTTTAGACCCCTGAAAAGCTGAACTTTAAACATAGCTTTGGCTGCGTGCCCGCAATACATCCGCAATCATCTTTGTTAAATGTTTCGATTTGTCTCGTCCTCATGTTCAATTCTCAAAGCTCATATCCTCGATTTGATCCTCGTCCTGTCATCAATATTTATTTATCCGACCGCAATATGTTCCTATGTGTGTGCTCTCCTAACTCCTAACTCCTCAAAGCTTTAGTAAACGTTTTCAGGAATCAGCGGAGCGCGAAGAAAAACTCAGTAGGAACAGACACATAGGAATAAATAGATACATAGATACATTTATACATACATATATATGTATATATATATATATATATATATATATATATAAAGGGGTATTACAGAAACTGTTTAGCATTCAGTAGGAATCTACCCCTTGGCGGTGTCTTCTTCACATATGTAGCAAAGGGCAAAGAGAACAACCGTAGGCCAAATTAAAAGGCACGCACTACTACGCGATCCTCTATAAGGGAACACCGGGGTTGTGGATGAATTTTAGGGTTAATTTTCAATTAATCCAAATATTTTACTATTATATTAAATTTTGTCAAATAGTATAACTATGATAACTATTTTTGTATGTTATTTAAGACTACAAAATCTATCGTTGTACAAAGTGGCATTGAAATCGTAAAAAAATTGTCGATGAAGAATTATAGAGAAACGGCCAGGCCAATTTTTTTTCAAAACCTTATCAGCACGATTTCCAAATAATAACTTTCAAACCGTTTTTGAATTTTTAAAATCATTTCAAAATTTTTGGCTAAATCTTAAATGCCATTTTTTTCACTTATCTGCTAGTTGTAAAAATTATAAGATACTCAAAAAACTAAGATTTATATAGTTGTAAAAAGCTTGAAAAAATATATAAGTAGACATAAAAAACAAAATTTTTTTCAAGACAAAATTTTGAACGTATGCACTATAATAAATTAGTTTATCCGTTTCATTTTATTTTAATTGCATTTTAATATTTATTCAATTATGCACAATCACAATAATAAATTTAGTAATCCGTTGCATTTTATTTTATTGCATTTTATTATTAGTTTTATTGTATTACTTTTTTTATTCAAATTTTTAAACAGCAATTAGATTTATAAATAAATCTAAATTCTTATTAAAAATTATCTCTAAATATATTTTTTAATTTTAATGCAACATTGACCAAAAATGGCTATTTCTTAATACTATATAATTATTTTTTTAAATTCGTTTTCACAATATCCAAAAGTACCGTAAATGTAATAAACTTTTTATAGAAATTAATATATATATATATATATATATATATATATATATATATCTTGCCGCCTTCTTTAAATCGAAAATAACACTAGTAGTGTATGGCATCGTGCCCTAGGGCAAATTGCTGGAACTCCCGTGCCTTAATAAATATTCGTGAAATATTAAATGTTTTCAATTATATTATATTAAATAATGTAACTTCATGATCCTTATGTTATAAAAATAGCAAAATACAAAATTTAATCATCGGATTTAAAATGTAGAACATTTCTAATATTTCTAAGTATCATATAATTTGAATTGCAAAGTTAAAATAATTTTTTTAAGTAATAAGTGATTTTTAGAACTTCAGCTAGAATTAGTTAAAATCCGAATTGTTTTCGATATTCGACGGGAAGTTAGAAATATTTTCACTTTGTTATCTAAATTACAAATATACTCCAATTTTAATAAAAAAATAAAGAAAATCGGACAATAAAACTTGTATTTTGGCGTTGGGAAAATAATGTTAAAAATGTGGGTTAATAAAGCTTCAGAAAATCTCATTATTTAAAAATCACACACTGTGGGGTAAAATGGGGAGAAATGATTTTTTTTAGAAAAATAGCAAATAAACATATTTCTGTATCACTAGAAAATAACTGGAAAATTTTCAGAGTATATTTCAATAGTTAATTGTTTGATATAATGTATTTTGTTGGGTTTTCACAGTATATTTACTGAAAGTAAGTGTAAGGCTTATATTATAAATAAGAGATGCGAATGAGATATTTGCTCGATGATGCATCTAATATAGCTCAAAAGATATAGTACGCTATTTTCCATCGTAATAACTAGATGTGATAGAACGCCTTTTTGTTTGGATTTTTATTTATATAGTCCAGTCATTTGAGCTTAAATTATGTAAGAATCTCAGAATTCGAAATACCCAGCTGTAAGTCTGTAAATTGTTGTATATTGACATTTAAAAGTTGTCTGAAACCTACCTATGTGCTCATAT